CTGAAAGATTGTTGTGAAAAGAAGAAGATATTGAAAAATAAATCGAAGTTGAAAATTGAGATGAAAAATAAATGATTAGAGCTGTTAAACAAAAAAAAACAAAAACAAATGAAAGAAAAAGATTAAGAAGAAAAATGAAAAATAGTTTTTGAAATAAATCGATAATTAAAAAAGAAAAAAAGGCAAATTAAAACTTTGAAAGACGAGTGAGAGAAAGAAGAAAAGAAAAAGAAAGAATATTATTGAACGAAAAAATTAGAAAAAGGAACGAAGAAGAATGAACTATTGTAGAATTAATGAGAGATTACTTACTACCTTTTGTTTTTCCTTTGTTGTTTTTAATTTTTACGAGCATCTTGAATCTTTCGCAAAAAAGAGCTCCCACCCCCACCCCCAATCTTAGATTTTTTTTTTTTTTTTATCTGAATAGTAAATCCCTTTTTTCCCTTCTTTTATTTATTTGTCTTCATTCTGGGCTTCTTTTAGATATCGGCATCGAACGTCTTTGGAACCACCTGATTCTCTCGTTCATTCCTGCAGAGAGAGAAAGAGAAAAGAAGTCTGCGAGGCTGGTCTCATCTTCTTCTCTTGTTTCTACTGCTGCTTTCTTCGGACTCAAGAAACTTCTTTCTTTCCTTCCATTCCATTATTCTTCTTCTGAATTCTTTCATTTCGAACTCGATTCTTCTTTCTTTCCTACTCTTCTTTTTTCGATATAGAGAGAGATGAAGAAACAGATTATATAACCTTTGTTTTCCATGCAACACAGCAGCACTTTTACTCCCCCCCACCCACCTCGCCAAAGAAAAACAAACAAACCTAGAAAAGGAAAGAGATTTACACACCGGTTCAATCGTTGATCGAAAGAAAAAGACATATTTATTTACAGGTAGTAACAACAAAAAAGCAAAACAAACATCAACAACTCGTATCCGCGAGACACACGCACACACGTTCTTCTAGACACACAAAAACACGTAAAAACTTCGCCAAGGAAAACACATGTGGTTCGCTTTATATTTTCTTTGTCTCTCTCTTTCTCTAGCTTATTGAATCATTCTCATCTCTTTATTTCGTTTTTTTCTTCTTTCTTAATTCCTTTGTCTTTAAAATTTTCCCGCATTTCATAAAAGTAAAACTAAAAACTCCCTTTTAAAAAGTCACTGTTTGTCGCCCTCTTCACACGACTTTCTACATGTGGTTCCGAAACACATGTATTGTAGAAAGACAACACGTTTTGTATAATAACAATCTCTCTCTCTCTGTCTTTTAATATAGTAGATTTAATATTTATCTAATATACGGGAAGAAGAATAAACTTCAAGTTCATTCACAAAGAAAACTTTTCCATGCGCCATCCGTCATATTCTTCAAATAACACACACACATACACGACGAAAGTAAATAAATTGAAGCCCACATCTCGGAAGACTAACAGACAAGAAGCTCAATCACTTCGATATATACTTTGTAACTAAAAAGGTCTTACTCTTAGTCTTAATGAAGTGAAACTAGTAGAAATTTAAAGCTACCGGTTCTTTTGGTTGCGTTTCTCTGCTAAGGTTTTCTCTCCGCAAGAAGGGGAGGGGCTTTCTTTGGCGACTGAATTCGACCACCATCCCTCCATCCATCAGCAGGCGGCAAACTCTTACCCTGACCGTTTCTCCAGCCTAGTCCTCAGTTTGGTTTTCCACCGATTAGCACCAACTTCGCCACCATTCCAAATCACCATCACAACAACAAACACATCAACTGCAACAACAACATCAATCAACACAACATAAAGAAAACAACAGTTCGACGACAGAGTGAAATGAAGGCACCCACATTGTATCTGTGTGCCTGGTAAATCGAGTGGACATGTCTTTTTGACACACACGCCAGCAGACTTTTACGACAGACTACCAGCATGGAAGAACCAGGGTAGGTACACAAAACTATTCAATTTTGCTTCCATCTTTATACAGACGAGCAGGATTTTTTTTCTTTTCAACCAAATATCTCTTGTTCTTGTACATGTGCTTTTATATACATACATACATACAGTTATACAAACATTTAGCATTAATACAAACTCACTTGCATATGCATTCCTTGGAGTAAACTTTTTTTTAGCAGTATTGATTTAGAGATGAATACATAGGTATATATATATATATATATATAATTGTGTGTGTAATTTTTAGCTCTATACAAAATCTGACACACACATTGATATGTCAATATATACACATACTAACAGACTCATTTATTTTATTTATATGCCATATGATCACATTCTGTCATAGCTACAAAAGAGACAAATTTTATCTCTATACAATGTTCCATTGCTTTCACAAATTAATGAATATCCATAAACATTGTTATATATAAAAATTTAAACATATAGCAAATAAATAAAATTTATATCACTTGTAAATTGAGTGTCATATATATATATATATATATATATATATATATAAAAGAGAGATGTGTATGTATGTAAACCCATGTGTATATGGTTTTATTCTGACATATATCCAGGCACATTTACATATAAATACCTGCACATATATACATAGATATTTCTCTAAAAATATACATAGTTATTATACAGCTATGAAGCAGCTACAAATAAAACAGAGAAGCATATATTTTTGCATCTATTTGTTACTATATGTATGAATAACTAATATATATATATATTTCTGCAAAGGATTCCTCACAGGTTTGTGGTTATCCAATCATTATTTGAAAACACCTGTTAATAAGTTTATTTTTTCAGATGCAATGATAGATTTTTGTAAATTTATATAAAAAGCTCTGTTGATTATCATACACAGTGTAAGGTATAAATACAGACTAGTCCTTGTACATATATACTTTATATTGATATGTATATAGACAATGTATGTGAATATATATTTACTTTTAAATAATGTACTCTAAGCTACAATGAACATACATATATGCATATGCGCATGTACATGTAAAAACTACTTTCTTCGACACACACACACACACTATACATGATGATATATCTATAGAGAGAAAGACTGATTTATAGGAATTGAATACTTAAGTATATAAACACAGTGTACTAATGCATTCATAGCCCTCTTCATATCTACTAAATCCTTCTACATATGATGAGAAAAGTCTGTTGAAGAGATACAGAAGTTGAGTGGTGAATTCATTTATATTCATGTATCTCACTTTAGTTTTGATTCTGTACAAATAGCTTATTTAAATTTTCTTTACTATGATTACTACCTATCTACTTAGGTATAGGTATGTGCCTATCAATATTTAATCATACATTTCTTTTAGTGTATATGTTTGTAGTACTTTTCTCATGTAAGATATAGATTAAATCCACATTACCTCCAATAGAATATATGCACATGTGCATAGTTTACAAGAAAGTGCATATGTAAATAATTTGCATACAGTCTATACAAATGAAATATATATGTGGATGCATGTATATATACAGTTGGGTGCTGAAAAGTTATCAGCCTCACTTTCCAAAATCAGTATTCTGATATACAACAAAGAAATACTAATTTTGGAAAGAGGTTTGGGCTGAGTACCACTTGCACATATTTTTTGCTTACTTATACCTAAACATACACACACACATATATATATTCCTTTTCATATATATATATATATATATATATATATATATATATATATATATATATATATATATATTCTTTTCTTACATATATATATATGATTTGTATATTCCTTATATATATATATATATATATATATATATATGTGTATGAAAATGTGATATAAAAATTTATATATCAAGAACAATTTTAGATAAATCTATGACAAGGTGTAAAAGTTTTTCATGTGTCACATTCCATCCTTTAGGACTTCAATGGACTAAAGTGATGTTTCCATCGATGTAACTACACATGTGCATGAAGGAGTGGGGGATACTGAAAAGTTTATCCGAAACATATACTTAAAAAAAAAAAATTTAATTTCAAATTTTCAGTATCCCCTCCTCTTTTTGTACATCCCTAGCTGTATCAACGTAAACATCGCTTTAGTTTGATGAAGTCCTAAAGGGCAAAATGCGTCACACAAAAAAAAAGCTTTTTCCACTTCATGAGATATATATATATATGTATAAATAAATAATTCTTGATACTTATCTATTAGTGATTAAAATTTTTTTATGTTTCTAGTTTTGGAGTGTTTCATCTTTTGTCATCAATCATTTTAGTATTTGTGCATATCCTACTTGGAATATTTGTATTGGTCAGAGTTAAAGTCAAGATGAAAGTCATGATTCTAATTTGGCTTTTCAATTTTTATTTCCCACTTGGTAAACTGGTATTTTATAATCTTTTTATCTATATAGGTTCATGGGTCTTCTTAAACCATATATATGTATCTATTTAAATATTAAAGTTTATATATAAGTATGTATATATTTATATGTTCACACACTAGCTCAAGGAAAGCATGAACACTCATATAAAAGTGAATTTTGCAAATATGTATTGATATATATTTATATTTATGTGTGTGTGTGTGTGTAAAAATAATTTTGAATAGTGCCTTCTTTCCACATTGGCTGATATATATCAAGCTAATTGTTTTTCAAAGTTTGGGATTGGTGTATAGTTTCAATTTTATCACTTTTTTTAAACCCATCTCAGGGTTTCCTAACATCCACCCATTGTTACAAGCAGATAAAAACTTTGTTTAAGTTTCATTGTTCCACCGAATCTGTGAAAGTTTTGTTGAGTTTTCATTTCACTGTTTCCCATTTCCATCTTCTTTAGCGGTGGATGTTTTCATTGCAGAATGAATGATCATCTGCTCTATCAATTTCCATTTTACAGTTTGAATTGTTTTGGGTTCCAATTTTAATGAATCCCTTTCTCACAATTTCGGCCAAGATAGTTCATTATTATGATCCTAAAATTTGAGATAACAAAATCTACTGTCAACTATTTCGATATTAAGACATTATTTATCCATTCTTTAGTCTTACAGCCATATCACATTAAAATACTGGTTCTCATAAGATCACTAAAGTTAAGCAACATTGAGTCTGGTCAGTACCTAGATGGGTGGCTACTTGGGAACACCAAGTACTGTAAGCTTGGATGTGTCAGTCGTGTAATAGTTAATGACTTGTAACTGAAAATCAGAAAGCTGAGTTACATTTCCAGTTGGGTTTGTTATATTCACTTTCATGCAAATACCCTCAGGAAAGATATAAATCCACCTCTTCTCCTCCCAGCTATGGGTTAATTAGTAAGACTTGTATCAGTAAATCATTATTATCTCTAAAAAATATTTTTACAATCTAAAAATATTTTCTGCCTTTAAATTACCTGAAAAAGGTTGATAAACCATAAAAAAAAATATTTTTGTAATGCAATCTCCCTTCAGGACATAAGCAATCATTGTTTTCCACAGCTTCCTTTTCTTGAAATACTCTTTTAGGACATAAGTGATCATGACTCTTTACAAATGTTTCTTTATTAGCTGAATTACCAGGCATTCATGGCAAAGATAGTGGAGTGAATTCTTCTCCATGGTTTGCCACGTCCCATATGATCACATAAATTAAGCCATATTGAACCATGTCAGTACCTGTATATGTGACTACTTGGGAGTATCAGATGCTCTAAACGTTGATATGCAGGTGGTATAATGAATAATGGCTCCAAATTATTAATCAGAGATCCAATTTCTGTTGGATTCATTATATTCACTTACATGCAACTACCTATGGGAAAGGCATGAATCTACCTCTTCTCCACCTGTCTATGGGTTAATTAGTAAGACTTGTATCACTAAACCATTATTATTTCAAAAAAGAAAAACATTCTTATAATCTAAAAATATTTTCTGGCTTTATAAAACTTGTAAAGGGTTGATAAGCCATAGAAAATAAATGAATCAATCAATCTCCATGGTTTGGAATTTAGTTTTCCTTCTCTTAGAATGGTTGTTACTGAATATTAGAATTGGAATCTTAACTTGCCAATTTCACTTTACATACTCATATCCATTTACTGCTACCTGTACACATCTGCAGAAATTGTCAGTCGTAAGGTTGTTGAATTAGAAGTTTTAGTAATACACCTCATGAGCTAGATGGCCATAAAAAAAAGTATGTGCAGAATTGTTCTCACTCTGTAATCAAATTGTTTTCTTATATATAATTAATATGAGAAAGTTTTGATGACTGATGCTTTGATAAGGTTGGCCAAATTGGAATTCTTTTCAAAAGTCATGTATTTTCATAAGTTTTTTTGAATCTGTTTTTGTCAATGACACTTATGCATTAGGCCATCCCACTGCCACATGAGAACAGTTCCTTTCAAATAGCAATAAAAACATAGTTATATTTTTGATTAGATTTGAACATTTTCAATCAGTTTTTCACATGTACAAATGTATTGGGTATTTAAAGCTTCACATAGGTATTGATGTACCAGAAAACTATTACTTTAGATCATCTTTCTTCTAATGAGTAAGTGAAAATAAATTTACCAATTCAAACTCTTCTTTAGCTGTAAACATCAGCACAATTAATGTGACATACTTTATCATCATCATTGTTATTATTATTTTTAGTTCAGTGAGGCCTGATCCTTTCTGATCCACTTGAGCAATACCCTTAAATACCTATTATCTGCCCTCAGCCAACTTGTGATTCTATCACAATTAAGTGAGGGAGAGATGGGTTAAAATGAACATTTGTCTAGCGAAAAATTATTAATAACTAAACTCTGGAAATACATCAAAGGATCCTTTCTGGAAGGAGAGTCACGATTTAATGTGTTTAAGAAATGTGATAAACCACCACATGTTAATCTTCTTCATTTTCATCCTGATTATTATGACACTGATTGAAGATCAGAATCATTTTTGTCTTTCGTGCAACTTTTATGACTGATAACCACATTATTAGTTTCTTCAAAAAATCATTTTCATCGTTATTTTGTATTAATCCCAGCTATAATTGTAATGATCATCACAATTTGAAAGACATGATGATAATCATTAGTATGAGGATCCCCACGATTCATGAAAGAAATTCTTTGGTTAACAATAGACCCACAAAAATAAAAAAGTGTTAAAAGAAAACTAAACGTAAAAACCTGGTTATCATGAGCAAGTTTCTCATCAACTGCATAATTTACGATCAATTGCACAATTCACTATATTCAAAAAAATCTTCATCATTATAAAAAAACAACAAAAAAAATCTTGTCAACTTCACTATTATCTTTTTATCACCATTGTTATGCATAGGGGATGGAGGTGATTTCATATATTGTTTAATGTCATGCAGCCATGCTGGTTTTGTTGTTAGCATTATTGGTGTCATCCGTTCCTTCTTCTTCTTCTTTGATGCCGGCCAGGCACCGCGTGTTGCAAGCACTTGTGTTGTTGCTGTTGTTATCAAAAGCATCGTTATTGGTTACGGCTGCTTGTGAAACTGCCAATGGATAATATACTGTACTCCAATCTTGATGAGAATATCAGTGTCATTCGCTTGTCTGTTCATTCTGTGTGTGCTGCTGCTACTTTTCCCCATGTGCAGATGTGTTCGCCCACGTGTATGGAGTTAAGAATGTATACACAGAAGTGCATTTGTGTGTGTCTGTATATATCTCCTGAGTGAGTGTCTTTGATATGCTAAAAGTAGTTTTTTTTATACTTGGACTTGGTATACATGTGTAGGTAAATGCATGTGATAATGTTAAATTGTGCGTCTGTGCCCTAGTAAATATTTCTGCAGCATTGATATATATTTAAAGATTTAGAAATTTTATTTTAAAGTCTGATAATATGAATCCTGTTTATATTATATCCATATGATTAATACTTGCATTGTACTGACTATGATAGAGAAGAGCTCTTCTGTCATAGTCTGTACAATGTAAGTATTAATTAAGCAATAGTCTATCTTTATTTTTAAATAACTATGTATTTAAGAATTGAATTTGCTGTATACCAAACAAAGAAAAAGAATCTGGTAGACTATTGCTTAACTTTACTATATTCATGGTTGTTTCTTGGAGGATAATGAATTCATAATAGGAAGTGTATATATATTTATTATCAACTATTTTCTCAGTACATTTCAGGGCTCAACCCCTTGGTGTGACAGATATAGGTATTAATGAGTCTTATTTTGCCATATTGGTGCATGATCCGTCAGCAGGATGTCTTTCTTTATTTTAGACTAGTTACCCTGCCAATACTAATGAGCCTAATCTGCCCCCATATTTTTACCAATTAGTGGTTATATTAAATATATGAACAAGATCATTGAAGTCTGAAATGGAGAATGGTTCTGTGTCAATGGCAGTAAGCAAAGGTCTGTTGGCTTAATCTGTTAGTGAGAGTATATATATATATATATATATATATATATATATATATATAATGTGTGTGTGCATATGAGGGGGATACTGAAAAGTTTTTGACTGAAAACACTTTCCAAACTAACTTGACCCAATATTAGAATTATTTACAAAAGAGCTTTGTGGTTAGGCTGAGAATTTTCAATACTCTTATTTATATATATATATAAATGTACACGGAGATCAACACCAAGCAGCGACAGTATTTCATGCTTGAATACAATTTTTAAATGACTTGAAGATTGCATTCAAGCATGAAACTGACAGTCACTGCTCAGTGTTGACCTCAGTGTCCACTTTGATATTTAATATACTCTCTGACATTGAACACTTTTACCCATAAATATAGCAGACCTTAAAAATATATTTTTATTATATATATATATATATATATATATATATATATATATATATATACACATATATCTTAAACTTAAATGCACAGATATTACAGTAATCCAATGTAGAAGTACTGATCCATACATAAATAATCTCATCATTTTATTGATATTACACTAGTATATATTTGAGGGATTAATTTTAGAATTTCTTTTAAGCAAGAAACATGATTACGTCCAACCAAATTATCAAGGAAATAAAAAAAATTGAAATATTTATAAAATCTTTCACACTTTATGATTTGTTAATCCAATTAGCTGAATAGCAAAGTTTTGAAAACTTATTTAATTTTCTTTAATCTAATACTTGTTTATGCAAATGACCATACACACACACACACACACACACACACACATATATATGTATCTATGAAATCTTCAAAAATTTAAATGCAATGTCAATCACTATCTGCTGTCTTCCTGATAATTTTTCTTTTTCCACTTATTAATGTTTCTGTTTCTAATTCTTCCACACCCTGTAATCCCTTTTCTGCAGGGGGTGAAATCGATTAATAAAAATTCTATGTACATTCAAGTGTGCATATATCCATGTATATGTATTTATTGACAACCACAATTTTTTTTAGTTTTCTATGCATGGTGATATTTGCAAATGTGTGTGTGTGTGTGGTAATTTTCTAAGCATAGCTTAGATATATGAGAAGGCTGAAATTATACAACACCCAGTGAGGATCAAACTCACTATGCAGTCGGAATTGTTTTAGTGAGACAAGCTTGCTATCCATTACACAACATTGTGGTGCCCTATGCATCTGTATGGTCACATTTGATGATATAAATATGAAAGAAATTTATTTCTCTCAATATATGTTTGATTGTCAAAATGTGTATATGCATGTGTTTAATTATATGTGTATGCAAATATATTTATACCTATGGGAAATGGGTTTTTAGAATTATATGAATTCCTGTTCTGGGTTAAGATATTTTTCACTATTTTCTTACTTTATTGCAATGAGTATCACCAACTCTAGAGAAGCTCCCAACGACCATTCTTTTAGCCTAACTATTGGGCTGAGTAATGAAATGCTTTTTTCTTTTTTCATTTCATATCTTCATTCTTCAGCAAAATCTCATATGCATGCTTGTGCTTATAGAAGTATTTGTTTTGATATATTTTTTTCTTAGCCTTCTACAACAGCCTTGTTTTTCTTTTAGTCTTTTGTTAGACACTTATCTTGTTTGTATTAATAGTATTAACGCATTGTTAATTTTGATTGGGTTTGTATCATCATTGATTTTTTTTTTCTCTTTTTTTCATTTTGGACTACTGACCAGGGAAAGATTAATGCAT